GCCACCGTGATGATGATGATGAGAGAGAGACACGCAAACTACAAATATACAGCAGACGTCAGAGTCGGGATGGAACCCACGACCTCCTGTATACCAGGCGAGGTAGTTAACATATCCTAGCCACCGTGATGATGATGATGATGATGAGAGAGAGACACGCAAACTCCAAATATACAGCAGGCGTCAGGGTCGGGATGGAACCCACGACCTCCCGCATGCCCAAGCAGCTTCTGTTTGGCCGGATAGACGGGGCTAAACGGGCTGCAGAAGAGATGGAGTGATGCGGTAGGGGAGGATGTGGAGCTGAGTGGACTTGCCGATGACTGGTACCAGCGGTGTCAAGATCGGCCTCTGTGGAGGAGGCTCGTGAAGGACGCTGCTACTGGGCAGTTGGAGGCAGTCGCCCTCCAACAACAACAGTGGGTGGAGGAGCGACCCCCACAACAACGAGCAGAGCACCGGGCGGATAAAATGCAGCAAGTCGGTACAGTAGGGGGCACAGCTGGTGCCAGTCATTCAACGCAGTCAACCCAAGGTTTTTTTTGAGTGAGATCGCGTAAATATAAATGTGTCATTAAACCCGTCACCACCTGACAGGGCCCATTAGTAAGGTTTGTCACGTAAACAGAACATGCCAATTGGTTGCTAGTTCAGCACTAACCAGTGTGTTGGAGAGTAAACCCGCTAGGACATTGACCATTCGAGTAGGATGCTTCGCACCCGAATGTCTCACAAGCAATGATATCACATTAACCCCCCCCCCCCCCGTCTATTTAAGACCGCCTGATGATGCTGGTTGTAGTTACCGGCAAAACGCAACGGTACTCAATTTGTAAATGTCGTGGTGGGTTCACTCTGCAACACGCATCGATCGGTTTTCTGTGCTAGTCACGAATTGGCACCTTTTGTGTTTACGTGACAAGCGTTTACCGACTGGCTGTGTCGGGCGGTGGTGGAGAGTTTTCAACAGGTCCACGTGAATTATGTTCAACGGGGGGGGGGGGGGGGGGGGTGAGAACCAAGAGTGACCCGGGCGAATGAATGAACATGAGGTGGGTGAATGAGTGAGCGAGTGGATGAATGAGCAAGTGATACGAGTTAATAAGTGGGTCGGTGAGCGAGTGGGTGGGTTTAGTAAGTTCAACATTTCAAGATTCTTTTGTTGAACCAACAGGAGGAACTCATTAGACCTGGGCGAATGACTGAACACGAGTGGGTGAATGAGTAGATGAATGAGCAAGTGATACGAGTTAATTAGTGGGTGGGTGAGTGAGTGGGTGGGTTTAGTGAGTTCAACATTTCAAGATTCTTTTGTTGAACCAACAGGAGGAACTCATTAGACCTGGGCGAATGAATGAACACGAGTAGCTGAATGAGTAGATGAATGAGCAAGTGATACGAGTGAATTAGTGGGTGGGTGATTGAGTGGGTGGGTTTAGTGGATGGTTTTGGCGAGTAAAAATTTAAAGATTTGTTTAACCAGGCGAGGAACTCGGGAGACCGCGGATTTTGGCCTCGCCACTCTGCTAGAGTGGCTCGGCTCACAGGGAGGACAAAAGCCTTGACGAGCGGCGCACGGCGGCGGCGGTAGCACGGGACGACCGGCAGAGCCGCGCCAACTTGGCCCAAGTCAAACACCGCCGGTGCCTCACCGCACACACAACGGCGCATGCACGCAGCGGAGACCACAACGCCGCCCGTAAAAAACGAACAAAAAACAACGGGCCCCAATTGAAGAGATACAATGGGGGGAAAGGGGGGGGGGATAAGAGAGCGCTTGGGCACATGCGGGGGGGAGGGGGGGGGGGGCGATGTGCGGGCAAACCATCTGTCTCTCCGCCTGATGACGAGCACCACTTTGTGTTGCGATCGAAACGTCGTGAGTTGTTGGTTTTTTGAATTTTACATTTTTACTATTTTTTTAATTTCTATTCTTACATTTTTATATCTACATGACTTTACAGAAAGAACTAAAGAATATGGAAACCATCTGTCGCTAACGACCCCCCCTCCACCTCTGCCACCCTCCACTCCACCCCCCCCACCACGGCAACCGCGGCACGGAACGACGACACTGAAAAAAACAAAACACAACAACAACAAAAACCCCGAGCGAGCGTCTCGGTTTTTTTTCCCTCCGCGACCCCCCCCCCCCCCAACTGCGGGGTCTAACGGCGGCGTCTTCAGCTGCGGGCGGCGTGGCTCAGGGCAGCGCTTTGTGACCCCCCCCCCCCCCCGCGAGATCCCGTGGCGCGCTGCGCAGGAGGCTCGCGCCGAGTGCCCAAGCCCCGTCGCACCCTCTGTGGCTCCCACGGCGCTGCATAGGTTGGGCCTCGAGACTTGCTGGGACCGCTCCCCGCTGCTGGACGTGTCACAGCCACCGGCCCTCCGCCCTCCTGCCCAATATCTACGGCGGTGGTTCTCGACCAATTTGTTCGCTGCGACTGTTACGCCCCCCCCGCCCCCCCCCCCCGCCCCCCGCCTTGTTGAATTTTGTTTTTGACGACCGTCCTCGTGCATGCGGGGGGAGCGGTGGCGCAGCGGTTAGCGCCACGCTGCGCTACGAACCCGGCGACCCGGGTTCGATTCCCGCTCACGGCCACCAACACCGCCGGTGACGACTATCTGAACCGGTCCTGGGCCTCCCCCAGGTCGACTCGGCCTCAAATGAGTACCTGGCGTGGGTTGTAAACATCGCCACTGGGGAGACAAAGGCGACCGGGTCGTGGTGCTGGCCACCCCCCCCTCGTGTGCCGTGCCGGCCCTTCAAAGGTGCTCGCTAGCAGCACTTGCCCCAACAGTCTGTTAAGGCTACACGGGGGATCTTTGTCTTTGTTGTAGGACAATGCGTCGGCGTACGGACACGGCCAACTCGGTAAAGTCACGTAGAAGGGAAGTAATAAAATAATAAAGAAAAGAGGGAGGGGAAATGAGACCGCAGGCGATCGGTTGACATGAACGCTCGTTCGATGGCCGCTAGCGCCTTGATGGATATCAGGGTCACGGACCTCGGTGTGCCACGGTTGGCAAGATGTTGACTACCTCGCCTGGTGTACAGGAGGTCGTGGGTTCGATCCCGACCCTGACGCCTGTTGTATATTTGGAGTTTGCGTGTCTCTCTCTATCATCATCACGGTGGCTAGGAGATGTTAACTACCTCGCCTGGTATACAGGAGATCTTGGGTTTTATCCCGACCCTGACGCCTGCTGTATACTTGGAGTTTGCGTGTCTCTCTCTCTCATCATCATCATCACGGTGGCTAGGAGATGTTAACTACCTCGCCTGGTATACAGGAGGTCGTGGGTTTGATCCCGACCCTGACGCCTGCTGCTGTATATTTGGAGTTTGCCTGTCTCTCTCTCTCTCATCATCATCACGGTGGCTAGGAGATGTTAACTACCTCGCCTGGTATACAGGAGGTCGTGGGTTCGATCCCGACCCTGACGCCTGCTGCTGTATATGTGGAGTTTGCCTGTCTCTCTCTCTCTCATCATCATCACGGTGGCTAGGAGATGTCAACTACCTCGCCTGGTATACAGGAGGTCGTGGGTTCGATCCCGACCCTGACGCCTGCTGCTGTATATTTGGAGTGCGCCTGTCTCTCACCCCCCGTGGTCGTGTAGATTTTTCTCCGGGTCCTCCGTTTTTCCCTCCACATTTAGAATCAACTCTTCCTCCACGTTTGTGCGTTCAGAGCATTTGGCTGCTGTACATTTCCACGCGATAAGGAATCTCGTGCAGCTATCAGTTGTGACAGCCTGGTCGCTTCTCAAAAAAAGCTGTACAGCTCTCCACAAACAACAACAACAATCGCCATTCGCCACTAAGTGGCGGTGACGTCACCACGAAGCTTGTGCCAGGCAAACACACAGAGACACACACGCAACTAAGATACAGAAATAGGGGGATTATGGGTAAAAGACACTGACGCCACCACCGCCGTCACAATCACTGCCAACGCTTCAACCCTCCCTCCGGCAGATGCCGCAGCATCTGGACATCTGCGCCGAAAGAGCTTCGTAAGCCACATCGGATTCGTCCGATATAAATAGATATTCTGATTCCGCGACCTTCCAAAGCAAGCAAAAAGCGCGCGCGGCAAACAACAACAACAACAACGACAAGAACAACGACAACGACAACAACAAGATCAAGAACATTCGAAAACTCCGAACACGTGACCACTCCATCGGAGCAAGCAGCACGCACTAAAAACAAACCGACACCGTCATCGTGTTGCGATGGTGCCGCACATCGCAGGGATCACCGCGCCCACCGTCCCGCGCTCACCTGCACCCCGCCCCCCCCGCCCATCTCCTCGGCTCGTAGAGTCGCACTGCTGCCTCTCGGCAACCAGAAACACTTCGGGGCTCGGCGTTTTCGCCTAATAGGGCCCACCTCCCCCCTCCCCCCCGGCGCATGTGACCATCCGGGGAGCGCTGGTAGCATATAAAAAAAACCACGCACGTAGGTATGTTTTATATATATGACGGTAATAACGGTGATGGGTTGAACGCAGAACGGGCACGGGTAGGACGGTCGAAATGGATTTGGGGGGCGGCGGTGGTGGTGATGTTGGCAGTGGTGGGGGCGGGGGGGGGGGAATTAACGACGGCGGTCTAGCCTCTGCCACCGTGGCACTTTCCCACACACAAGGTGCCCTCTGGATCAAATTATTAATAGCAGCAGCAGCAGCAGCAGCAGCAGCAGCAGCAGCAGCAGCAGCAGCAGCAGCAGCAGCAGCAGCAGCAGCAGCAGCAGCAGCAGCAGCAGCAGCAGCAGCAGCAGCAGCAGCAGCAGCAGCAGCAAGCAGCAGCAGCAGCAGCAGCAGCAGCAGCAGCAGCAGCAGCAGCAGCAGCAGCAGCAGCAGCAGCAGCAGCAGCAGCAGCAGCAGCAGCAGCAGCAGCAGCAGCAGCAGCAGCAGCAGCAGCAGCAGCAGCAGCAGCAGCAGCAGCAGCAGCAGCAGCAGCAGCAGCAGCAGCAGCAGCAGCAGCAGCAGCAGCAGCAGCAGCAGCAGCAGCAGCAGCAGCAGCAGCAGCAGCAGCAGCAGCAGCAGCAGCAGCAGCAGCAGCAGCAGCAGCAGCAGCAGCAGCAGCAGCAGCAGCAGCAGCAGCAGCAGCAGCAGCAGCAGCAGCAGCAGCAGCAGCAGCAGCAGCAGCAGCAGCAGCAGCAGCAGCAGCAGCAGCAGCAGCAGCAGCAGCAGCAGCAGCAGCAGCAGCAGCAGCAGCAGCAGCAGCAGCAGCAGCAGCAGCAGCAGCAGCAGCAGCAGCAGCAGCAGCAGCAGCAGCAGCAGCAGCAGCAGCAGCAGCAGCAGCAGCAGCAGCAGCAGCAGCAGCAGCAGCAGCAGCAGCAGCAGCAGCAGCAGCAGCAGCAGCAGCAGCAGCAGCAGCAGCAGCAGCAGCAGCAGCAGCAGCAGCAGCAGCAGCAGCAGCAGCAGCAGCAGCAGCAGCAGCAGCAGCAGCAGCAGCAGCAGCAGCAGCAGCAGCAGCAGCAGCAGCAGCAGCAGCAGCAGCAGCAGCAGCAGCAGCAGCAGCAGCAGCAGCAGCAGCAGCAGCAGCAGCAGCAGCAGCAGCAGCAGCAGCAGGAGCAGCAGGAGGAGGATGATGAAAAGGACGAGGATGGGGGAAGAGGAAGATGAGTAGGACGGAGGAGGAGGAGGATGGAGCAGGAGCACCGGACCTCACCGCTGCACCGTGCCAAGTTCTCGCATCGCTCAGCACAACTCCTGCGGGCGTGGTGGTGCGGAACGTCGGGACGTCGTGGCAATTGCCGCAGGACGTCGTCAAGTGAGCACTCGAATTCGACGTCTCCATGGCGCACCTCATTGGCTCGCGAGTGACGACATCGCGTTGAAGAGTGAAACAGGAGGAGGATTTCTCCACAAATCTGGCTGTCGCCTGATGATGCCGGTCGCGAATGCTGCCGAAACGTCGTGCCCAGATTGTAAATGTTGTGGCTTTGCTCTCCGACACACCGGTGTTGCTGTACCGGTAACGAATTGGCCACGTTCTGTTTACGTGACAAACCTTACCAATCGGCTGTGTCGGGTGGTGGTGGTGGTGGCGGGTGAAAAAGACAACCCCCTCGTGTGCTTCATTTTAATTTCGTCCCGAATCATCGAGGACCCATCTTCTTGGGTCTTTCGGTAAAGTCACGTAGAAGGGAAGTAATAAGACCAGGTCTGTCGGGGAGACAGCTGTTTCCCCGACAGACCTGGTCTTCACCTGAGGACGGCTGCTTGCGTTGTGGCCGAAACGTCGTGAAAATTATTTTATTATGTTTTATTTTTTATTATTTTATTACTTCCCTTCTACGTGACTTTACCGAAAGAACCAAGAAGATGAATCCCTGCAGTCACGAAAGCTTTAAATCGAAATTCATCGAGGACCCGTGAGCGGACGGAGATTGTCGAGCGGCACGGCGACTTGCGACCACCCGCGACAAACACCGCAAAGCGTGACGCACCGTGACCTGGACACACGTGACCTGGTCACACGTGACCTGGCCACGGTCCGTGACCCGTGGCGGCCTGGCCACAAATGACAGCCCGACCGAGTGGCTCAGCACGTGGTAACTGATCGCACGTCGATTCTAAACGCGGAGGGAGAAAAAGCGGAGGAGCCGGAGAAAAACCCGCGCGACCGCAACGGGGGGGGGGGGGGGGAGAGACACGCAAACTTCAAACGTGCGCCGGGCATCGTCAGGCTCTGGGATCGAACCCACGACCTCCTGTATACCGGGCGAGCGCAAGGAGACGGAACGCGACAACCCACGCACCGGCATCGGCCGCCACCATCGTGGACTGGTTCTCGGGCAGCGACGGCGTCTCCTCCTGCTCCAGGCTCTGCGAGTCGTCCAGACCGTCCGCCTGGCTCGCGCTGAGCTCCGACTCCTGCTCCAGGTACTCATCCTCCTCGCTGGCGTGAGGGCGGCAGGGAAGGAGGGGGGAGGGGCGGACCGCACGCAGAGGGGGACAGCGCGTCAGCGACGTCCAGGCGACGTGTTAGCGCGGCGCAGAGCAGCGCTTGTCCTACGCCTGTGGATCCCCGCCGTAGATGACGACGCCGCAGCGGCTTTGTTACCCCTCCCGCTGCATGAGGCTCGCGGCGAGCTCCAAAGTCTCATTTCGATTTAAAGCTTTCGTGACTGCAGGGATTCATCTTCTTGGTTCTTTCGGTAAAGTCACGTAGAAGGGAAGTAATAAAATAATAAAAATAAAACATTATAAAATAATTCTCACGGCGTTTCGGCCACAACGCAAGCAGCAGACGCTGTCTCCCCGACAGACCTGGTCTTCACCTGAGGACGGCTGCTTGCGTTGTGGCCGAAACGTCGTGAGAATTATTTTATTATGTTTTATTTTTATTATTTTATTATCTCCCTTCTACGTGACTTCACCTCCAAAGTCTCGCCGCACCCTCTGGCTCCCACCGCGTTGCCCCCGTTGGGCCTCAGGACTCGTGGAGACCGCTCCCCGTTGGCCATGTCGTAGCCACCGGCCCTCCGTCCTCCTGCCCGATATCTACGGCGGTGGTTCTCGACCAATTTGATAGCTGCGACTGTTACACCCCCCACACCCCCCCACCCAACTTGTTGAATTTAGTTTCAACCCAAGATACCAGCCACCTTGCCCGACCCCCAACATGGTTGTGGAAAATAAATGGACGAATAATGAACGTCAATGTCTTGTGAGGTGTACAACATAACATAACTAGCTAAGTAACCGCAAGCGAATTAAATAAGATTCAACGGACGCTCTGCACGCGTGGCGGAATTAGTTCCGCGCGCTGGTTTGAAACCACGTCGCCTACGATCAGCGAGTTCAGAAAGGTCTTTCACATCGTTCTGGTTTGCCCTGTGGATGTAAATGTAATCATTGTTATTTTATATTGGCAGATTCATACGTGATTATTCGCCAATTTACTCTCATGCATTATATAATTTCACACTTTTATAAGTCTGGGACATTGCCACGTACCGCCCCCCTCCGCCCCCCCCGGGTGTCCGCGTACCCCTGGTACAGAACCACTCGTGTGGACGATGGACCTCGCACGCCAGTTCGTTGCGCGTGTCGTACTCTATGTCCAACTCTGCTCAGGCCGCCCGCCAGTCACGTGACCTCCCGTCAAATCATGTGACCTCCCGCCAGTCACGTGACCTCCCGTAAAATCATGTGACCTCCCGCCAGTCACGTGACCTCCCGCCAGTCACGTGACCTCCCGTCAAATCACGTGACCTCTCGCAAGTCACGTGACCTCCCGTAAAATCACGTGACCTCTCGCAAGTCACGTGACCTCCCGTAAAATCACGTGACCTCCCGCCAGTCACGTGACCTCCCGTAAAATCACGTGACCTCTCGCAAGTCACGTGACCTCCCGTAAAATCACGTGACCTCTCGCAAGTCACGTGACCTCCCGCCAGTCACGTGACCTCCCGTAAAATCACGTGACCATCGCTCTAAATCCCTCCCCTCTGCCCGCCCCCCTGTGAAAACACAAACAAACCCACCCCGTGCAGCTCGGTCCTTCCTTCTCTCTTCTCCCTTCTCATCACAATCACCATCCCTCTCATCCCCGACATCTTGGCTGTCCCCCCCTCCTCCTTCCCCCTCCCCCCCTCCTCATCCCCCCCCCCCCCTCCTCTGATCCTACTCCTCCTGCCTCTCCCTCTCTTCCAGCCCCTCCCCCCCGTCCGCTGCCCTGTTGCGCAAGCAACTCCAGTCCCCTTCCCGTCATCGTCGTCGTGAGCCACGGGTTAAAGGTTTTTACGCAACAACAGTGAACTCACCGTGACGAAAGATAAGTGGGCAACTGCAGAGGTCGGCCGTGGTATGATCAAACACTGGGCGCCACAATGGCGAGATGTTAACTACCTCGCCTGGTATGGAGGAGATCGTGGGTTCGATCACGACCCTGATGGTGTTGCGTTACGCGGCGCACGGCCGTGGGCTGTGCCGCCAATTAAAGGTGACCGGGCAGGACGCGATGTCCGCACCCCTCCTGCATCCCCCTGCTGCCCCCTCCCCCCAGAGAGGGGCCACCGGGCTTGCTGGGTAAAATCGTCCACGAGCCCTTGGGGCCAAGTCGATCGCCGGGAGAGAAGGCGCGGCGTCAATAATCGGAAGAGACGGCGTTTAATTTTCTCAATTAGTGAATGCGATTATTTTGTTTTCTTACATTAACGTCTTTTGGGCAGCGCAAGCCTCCGTCGGTCAGAGAACGAACGCGCTGAAGCGGACGCCACAGCGCGACCTCTCATCAAATCCCCGCCAGCACGGACACGTGTGTACGCACGCTACGTTGAACATCTTTCACACCGTACGTAGCCGACCGTGGATAATTGGAAGTGCTAAGCGACCGCCCCCCCCCAAACCCCCCCGGTTCCACGCAGTACAGGGAGACGTCGTGAATTCGGGGGGGCCCCCGTTTCCCTTCCCTCCCTCCCCTCCCTCCCACCCTCCCACTCTCCCTCCCACCCTCCCTCCCCTCCCACCCTCCCTCCCCTCCCACCTTTCCTCCCACCCTCCCTCCCACCCTCCCTCCCCTCCCACCCTCCCACCCTCCCACCCTCCCTCCCTCCCACCCTCCCACCCTCCCACCCTCCCCTCCCACCCACCGAATGGTTGACCCCTGCAGCCGGTCGATCTTCTTGTTGAGCTCGGCGATGACGCTGTGCAGCTCGGTGATGCGCTCCTCGTAGCGGAGGGTCGCCTTCTCCCGCAGCTCCTCGTTCTCACGCATGAGGCAGGCGGGCTCGCGCTGCGCACGCACACAACAAACACAAAGATCCCCCGTGTAGCCTTAGCAGACTGTCGGGGCAAGTGCTGTTAGTGAGCAGCACCTACGAAGGCCGGCATGGCACGCGAGGGGGGGGGGGGGGGTGGCCAGCGCCACGCCCGGCCGCCTTTGTCTCCCCAGTGGCGATGGTTTACACACCGCACCAGGTACTCATTTGAGGCTGAGTCGACCTAGTGGAGGCCCTGGACCGGTTCAGATAATCGTCACCGGTGTTTGGCGGCCAAGAGCGGGAATCGAACTCGGGTCGGCAGGTTCGTGGTGCAGCTGCGAAAACCGCTGCGCCACCGCTCCCCACATGGACGCACAAACACAGACAAAGATCCACGGTATAGCTTTCAACAAACTGTAGGGGCAAGTGCTGTTAGTGAGCACTTATGAAGGCCGGAACGGTACATAAGATGGAGCATGGCATACACCACGCCCGGCCGCCTTTGTCTCCCCAGTGGCGATGTTTACTACACACCGCACCAGGAACTCATTTGAGGCCGAGTCGACCTAGGGGAAGCCCTGGACCGGTTCAGATAATCGTCAAGGGTGTTGGCCATGAGCGGGAATCGAACCCGGGTCGCCGGGTTCGTAGCGCAGCGCGCTAACCGCTGCACCACCGCTCCCCACAGTCGGGCACACACAGACACACAACAAAGCGCCACCATTCGTCCTTTCGGATTGTTGGTGCCGTTGGCGAGCGTCACGGGACGGCTATGAAAACGACAGAGCACGCCGCGGTTACGGACTACAGTAATCCCTCGCCACTTCGCGGTTCAAGTTTCGCGGCCTCAGTGCATCGCGGATTTTTCGAACTGATTTAAAGGCCTCATTATACCTGTGCAGTAGCACCATCATCATCATTCATCATCACATTCATCGAACTGCACAGGTCTGTCATCGTAGTCATTGTCATCGTCATTGTCATTGTCGTCATTACTGGAGTCAAGTCTCAAGATACTACCGTCATTGGTGAGTGTAGAACACCATAATACGTATCGTATGAGAGACAGAGAGTGAATGTATAATATTAAGGTTTAATAATTAAATAGATTTAAGTAAAATATATAAAGTATAAATATACATATTTTAAACATTCTGGTACCCACACACACATATACGGAAATTCCTAGGGGGCCAATCCTATTTCGCGGATTTTCACCTATCGCGAGGGGTTCCGGGCCCCATTAACCGCGATAAACGAGGGGTCACTGTACACTTTCGTCGCTTCACTGCTGGACAGGCGGCCTCCCGATTGGCGCGTCGATCATCGACGTTGTCTGTCCGACCAGACTTCGCCACGCTCGTCAGTGCGCGGGAGGCGGCGGCGGAGACGGGAGAGCAGTCACGTTGCGGTGCGCTAACCGCTGCGCCGCCGCTCCCCCCGCACCCCCACCCGCAGCTTAGGGACAAGGGGGTCGATAGCGCAACGCAACTCGGATGTGCAAAGGGGCCGTCCATAAATGACGTCACGCGATTTTGACCCCCCCCCCCCTTCGTCACACGGCATCACAAAAAGTCAGACCCCTCCCTCAAATATGACGTCACAAAGCTCTGCCCCCCCCCAAAATAAAACATGCTTCAAATCGCTTTAAACTATTGTCATTGTAGTGCGTATTTAATGTGGCGCTGCACTCTGATGTTGTAGGAGAAAACATTCATTAAAAAGTTTATTTAATTAAGTAGAACGTGTTGTCTATATTTGTTTAAAGTTGCGCATTTTTACGTGACGTCACATTTCTCAAACCCTGCACCCCCCAGGTGCGTGACGTCATTTATGGACGGCCCCAAAGGCGTCTCGAAGGACGCCTCAACCCTGACGCGAGCCGCGCCGCGTGGGGCGGTGACCTCAGGCTGGCCCCCGTCGGGGAGGGCCCAGACCACGTGGCCGAGAGACCACGCGGCTCCGAGAGACCACGCGGCTCCGAGAGACCACGCGGCTCCGAGAGACCACGCTGCGCCGAGAGACCACGCGGCTCCGAGAGACCACGCGGCTCCGAGAGACCACGCGGGCTCCGAGAGACCACGCGGCTCCGAGAGACCACGCGGCTCCGAGAGACCACGCGGCTCCGAGAGACCACGCGGCTCCGAGAGACCACGCGGCGCCGGAGACCACGCGGCGCCGAGAGACCACGCGGCGCCGAGAGACACGCGGCGCGAGAGCCACGCGGCGCCGAGAGACCACGCGGCGCCGAGAGCCCACGCGGCGCCGAGAGACCACGCGGCGCCGGAGAGACCACGCGGCGGCCGAGAGACCACGCGGCTCCGAGAGACCACGCGGCGCCGAGAGACCACGCGGCTGCCGAGAGACCACGCGGCTCCGAGAGACCACGCGGCTCCGAGAGACCACGCTGGCTCCGAGAGACCACGCGGCGCCGAGGAGACCACGCGGCGCCGAGAGACCACGCGGCGCCGAGAGACCACGCGGCGCCGAGAGGACCACGCGGCGCCGAGAGACCACGCGGGCCGAGAGACCACGCGGAGCCGAGAGACCACGCGGCGCCGAGAGACCACGCGGCGCCGAGAGACCACGCGGCGCGAGAGACCACAGCGGCGCCGAGAGACCACGCGGCGCCGAGAGACCACGCTGGCGCCGAGAGACCACGCGGCGCCGAGAGACCACGCGGCGCCGAGAGACCACGCGGCGCCGAGAGACCACGCGGCTCCGAGAGACCACGCGGCTCCGAGAGACCACGCGGCGCCGAGAGACCACGCGGCGCCGAGAGACCACGCGGCGCCGAGAGACCACGCGGCGCCGAGAGACCACGCGGCGCCGAGAGACCACGCGGCGCCGAGAGACCACGCGGCGCCGAGAGACCACGCGGCGCCGAGAGACCACGCGGCGCCGAGAGACCACGCGGCGCCGAGAGACACGCGGCGCCGAGAGACCACGCGGCGCCGAGACACCACGCGGCTCCGAGAGACCACGCGGCTCCGAGAGACCACGCGGCTCCGAGAGACCACGCGGCTCCGAGAGACCACGCGGCTCCGAGAGACCACGCGGCTCCGAGAGACCACGCGGCTCCGAGAGACCACGCGGCGCTGAGACACCACGCGGCTCTGAGAGACCACGCGGCGCTGAGAGACCACGCGGCGCTGAGACACCACGCGGCTCTGAGAGACCACGCGGCTCTGAGAGACCACGCGGCTCTGAGAGACCACGCGGCGCTGAGAGACCACGCGGCTCTGAGAGACCACGCGGCGCTGAGAGACCACGCGGCTCTGAGAGACCACGCGGCTCTGAGAGACCACGCGGCTCTGAGACCACGTGGCTGAGAGACCCGTGTCAATGCGGGATTCCAATTGTGGGGTGGGAGGGGAGGGGGCAAGGAAGGGTGGTGGGGGGGAGATAGCTGGGGTCACAAAGCAGCCCGTGAACTTATACCACATCAATACACGCACACTTGCGCATAAGTGCACACACACACACGCACACACACTTGCGCATAAGTGCACACACACACACGCACACACACGTGCACACGCACACACACGTGCACACATGCACATGCGCGCACACACACACGCACGCACACACGCGCACACACGCACGCAGACACGCACACACGCACGCAGACGCACACACACACGTGCACACACACACGTACGCACACACACACTTGCACACACATGCACATGCGCAAACACGCGCACGCACGCACACGGGCAGTGTAAATGAAGTCCAGCGCGATGCACAATTTGGTCAAGCGTCATGCCCGGCCGTCTTTGTCTCCCCAGTGCCGACAGTACGTTTGTTTACTGCATACCGCACCAGGTGCTCATTTGAGACGGAGTCGACCTAGGGGAGGCCCAGGCCCGGTTCAGCCATTCGTCACTTGCGTTGTCCAGTGCACTAACTACAACACTACCGCTACCCACACGCACAACCCGCACAACAACAACAACAACCGCCATTCGCCACTAAGTGGCGGTGACGTCACCACGACGCTTGTGCCAGGCTATGTGCACCTTGAGGCCACGTGAAGTGTCGAACGCCCGCTGGCAGGAGGTCACGGGGCAGACTCAGGTGCCACGGGTCGACTGACACACACCAAGAAAAATATCTCCTGTACATCCTTGACAGACTGTAGGGGGAAGTGCTGTTAGCGAGCACCTATCAAGGCCGGCACGGCTCACGAGGGGGTGAGAGAGTGGCCAGCACCACGCCCGGCCGCCTTTGCCTCCCCAGTGGCGCGATGTTTACACACCGCACCAGGTACTTATTTGAGGCTGAGTCGACCCAGGGGAGGCCCAGGATCGGTTCAGATAATCGTCACTGGCGTTGGTGGCCGTGGGCGGGAATCGAACTCGGCAATCTGCTGGGTTCGTAGCGCAGCGCGCTGACCGCTGCACCACCGCTCCCACACTCGACAATTCACGCACAGTGACTTACAAAGACAAAGATCCCCCGTGTAGCCTTAACAGACTGTTGGGGCAAGTGCTGTTAGCGAGCACCTGTGAAGGCCGTCACGGCACACGAGGGGGTGGGTGGCCAACACCACGCCCGGCCGCCTTTGTCTCCCTAGTGGCGATGTTTACACATCGCACCAAGTACTCATTTGAGGCTGAGTAGACCTAGGGGAGGCCCGGGACCGTTCAGATAATCGTCACTGGTGTTGGCCGTGAGCGGGAATCGAACCCGGGTCGCCAGGTTCATAACGCAGCACGCTAACCGCTACACTACCGCACACACAGTGACACACACACACAGTGACACACATACACAGTGACACACACACACACAGTGACACACACAGTGACACACACACACAGTGACACACACAGTGACACACACACACAGTGACACACACAGTGACACACACACAGTGACACACAGTGACACACACACACAGTGACACACACACACACAGTGACACGCACACACACGTGTGTGCGTGGAACCCGCCACGCACGTGTGCGCACCACGAGGAATTAGAGGCATTGCCGGAAAGGCAAAACGAGGATCACGTGGTGCT